CGGGGAACTCTGCAAAAAACGCATCTTCGCACGGGCAGCCCGTGCGTTGGCCAATTTTTTTTATTCAGTCTCCCCCTCGTTCTCGCTTCCCCATAAATTTTGCCTACAAGTTTTTTCTGAGTGTATTTTTCAGTCAGTGCTATCACTCAAACTGTTAATGAGGAGTTCTTCTATTAGCATTCACAAGTAAAGATCAGTTTTTTTTTTTTTTTTTGGATCTTTCATCCTAAGCTGCCTTTTTTCAGATTCACTAAAATGTCAGTATAATGTTCAAAATGCCGAGAATAATTTGGAGTAATATAATTTAGAGTTGTTCTTCCAGTCGTCGATCTGATCGATCCGAGAACATTCGAATATTCGAAAGCAATGATAACCAAAAGCACGTTTGACTGGAATCTTCAGTTCATCTGGAAATATTTTCCATGGGAGTACTGGGATATTCCTGAAAATAATGTCAAACCGTTCCAGTGAGTTTATAATGCTAGAAAAATTTCATTTTGGAATCATGATGCGACTATTTTTTATTCAAAAATTTTTGGAATCATAGTAGATAGGAGTAATGAGAGATGGGCTACGATTAAATAAATGCAAATAATAGGTGGAAAGAGGTTTATATATGAAAAATTTGTAAAAATATTATATATATGCAGTAATAAAGAGGAGAAAGAAGTAGCTAAAAAGGAATGTTTCGGCCAATTAGTTATAGAAAAATTTTTTCGCTTCTTAAAGAGCTACCCACATATGCGATTATCTACTTTTTTTTTGTTCCACATATATTTGAATAGTCTCCTGTGGATTTATTTTCAAAAATAGTTCTTTTTTTTGTAGGTCAGCAGTAATGTCGGGTGGTTTGTTGGCAATCTCTCGAAAGTATTTTCATGATATGGGCGAGTACGATACAGGGATGGAAATCTGGGGAGCGGAAAATATCGAAATGTCTATTCGGGTTCGTTAGGTTTTCTACCGAATTGCATCTAACGGAGCGAATTTCTGAAAACCGTTAAAGAAATTAGTATTTACTACTTCCCACTGTAGCAGATTCCGTTCCACCCTTTCGCACTTACTCCGTTTTCTTGCCTGTTCTCCTAGGTTCTAAAACGTACTAAATTTTTGGGTTTATCGTTTTAAAATTTTCACGAGAGGAGGCGTAGCTTTAAACCACCACAGCCTTTCGATTTTCATGTGGGATGTTTCATATATATGAAGAAGTATATACTTTTTTTAGTTCCACATACGTTTGAATAGTTTCGTGTGATTTTATCTCTCCTTTCCCTTCCCCCCCCCCCCCCCCCCCCCCCCCCCCCCCCCCCCCCCCCCCCCCCCCCCCCCCCCCCC